TTCCTTTTCTGTCGGCTGCCAAAAATTAACTAATAAAAATATTCCTCCCTTTATATTTATTGTTTTGCTGTGACAGGAATCGGCAAAGTGTATTCTTTTAGAACGAAATTCCTTCGACACTTAATAGGTCGATGTTACCAGTAGCCAACACCCGGCCGTAAAGGGATAAGCAGGTGTGTTCCACTTATTTTGGCCAGGGGGATATATGAATGATTTTATTCTCAAAAGTCTCTCTTTCATTTATGTTTTGATTCAGGTCTCTCGCTTTTATATTCTTTAACTTCTGTAAAGCTCAACTTTTTTTAATTTAAAGTTTCGATGAACAACACAGCGATACAACAAGACAGATGGTTATTTTTGACATGTATACTGTTAAAACTGTATATAACCTAATAACAGAAAATGTCTCAATTGATGAATAAAAATGACGAAGTAATGTGCTCTCCATGTTTTTCTCTCATTTCTTACATTCTTTTGTAGAATTTTTGTTTGTTGGCATTAGAAAAAAAAAATGCAACAAGATTATTCATATTACTAACTTGCACATTGTCCATATGAAAAACAACAATTAATCGAATTGTCGATCCTAATCATGAATGTTGAATATAATGCTAACACTAGTCGTTATTTACCAAAAAACTTATCCAGTATTGAGAAAAATTATGAAAATGAATATTTTCATTATGATCGTTCAGCTCAAATGGTAAGTATGAAATTATTGGATATAAATCCCTATCGTGTTCATTTAAAACAAGTTTATCCTGAGAAAATTGATGAATATGAATTGACAGATGATATGTTAAATGTTCTCAAAACTTATACGAACAGCACCAGTAGTGGAAATGATTGTTATCTAAAAACAAATTTAAATTTATTAACAAATAATGATATTGACTGGGTCTATACAAATAAATTATATTCATTAATAAAAGGTTTAGATCAAGAGGATATTAGACATGTTTATTATAGAGGATTAAATTTAAACGATACAGAAATTATATACTATATGAATAAACAAAATGATTATTATTATACAAATTCCTTTTACTCATTTACTATTGATCGATTGTTAACATACTCAGGTAATGCAATTATTATTTTAAGAATAAGCCCTGACAATCATTTGAATATTGCAAACATATGGAAATGGAGTCATGCACCAGAAGAGAAAGAAGCAATTTTATCAATTGGATCAAAATTAAAGATTTTGAGTGTTCATTATTTTGGTTATAAATGGGAAATTGAAGTTGAATTGGCCAAAGATGATGATTAATCTTCAAAAGTAATTCTACCACGCATATTTGAATATTATTTCCAACTATATTTGCTTTTCTATGGAAAAAAAATGAAACTAGGGTACATCTCAAGTGTAAAACAATCGATTTCCAACTATACTAGGTTTTTTCTAGCAATTTCCTTCACTCTTTGCTGGTATCAGCTGTCAGAGTGAAAACAACGGATAAATTTTCAACTCTGGAAGACATCAAAATCACTATATTCTAATCTGTAGTTCTACGTACGTATGAACGCTCAGTCTATTATTTTGCTCAAATGGCATAGTTTCAACTGCAGATCTCGAATGGACTTCTTGAACCTCTCTGTAATCTAAAAAATGAATGAAAACATAAGTTATCGTCCATATTGAATATCGTTTATTTTTCACTAGGAGAAAAGAACGGAGAAACTCACTTTTTGCTTTCTGGCATCAAAACAAAACAGGTATAGTCACCCAAAATCTCAGCCTAAAACATGAAAATTTGTTTTTGTATCCAGTTTATGATCCTCCATCTGACTGAACAAGAAGAAAGAATGAAAATTGAAAAAGATTCTGACAGGTTTTCAGTGTTTTTATCATAACTAGAAGAGGGAAAAAGCTGCTAAGACCTGAGAACGGGTTTTGGTTTCGAAGACACTACAAAACTGTCTAGGTAGAGCTAACGCATTGAAATTTTCATTGTAACTTAGTCTTATAAATCACACCCATTTGCTGAAAATTTTACATTACTGACTTTTAAGGACACCACTGGATCAGAAATATAGATTTTTCCATACAAGATCCATATTGGGCTAACGAACTCGCAAGCACGTGATTGAAGAGCCCAAGGTGTCTACTCTTAGACTCCATACTATTTGTACCAGTACCAAAGGTTTCTGAGGGATTTTGAATAAATCGTCTAAACGTCCTACAAACCTGATTTTTCTGAAATTCTGGTTCAATGAAATATCGGAATCAGAAAGGATTCTAGTAACTCCAGTTCGTAGAGTAAATATTTGCGATTAAAAGGAGACGTCTCCCGGCACCGAGCGATGCTTTGAGCAAAAGTTATGACAGTTTTATGTGTGTCATACACTAGCGCCACCATATCTCAAAAGCGACTTTTTCCTACGCGACAAACACCACCCGAAAGATTTCTCCGTCAAATTAAGCGCTAGAAAGCTAGGGTTGATACAAAATTGAAGCTCAGACATGGCAACAACGTAAAAGGGCTCGATTTTTGATTTAAGGACACTATTCTTTTATCTTATTGAAAGTTATATACCAGTTTTTCCGCTTTTTTCCATCTTTTCAGGTAAAATCCTCTGGAAAATAAAAGAAAGAAAAAAGTAAAAAATCTGGCTCTTTTACGTCGTTACTCTAACTTCATTTCATATTTTGAAATCAGCCCGGCTCTCCAGGTGTTTTCTGAGATCAGAAATCTACAGGACGATCCCATGTTCGAGCGACATCTCATTAACGATGACACGTTGTGAAACCTAACGTTTTATTTGTTTGTAAATTTTCTCTCATGCTGTAACCAACGTTGATGAAACCTCTACTGTTGATAAACTACGGATCTTATCCAGCAGATCCTTAATTCTTGATATAATATGTACTTTGGTACTTAATTCAAGCCTAAAAAATATATTATTCATCTTTTATGCTGCATTGTTAACTACCGTTTGCAGTTAAGTTCCAAGCTTCCAGAAATTAATTGATGATATTTTGATGTTTTTTCTCTTCATATTGTATTGCGTTTAATTAAAATAATTTTTATCCTATAATTTTAGTCTATTATGCCCTGTCTGAATTAATTTATTCATTAATTTTTCTTTATGGACTCATTTTTTTCAATTTCTTGATGACTTGATCAATCATGGTCGTTTTTTAATAAAATGTTCATTTTCAATGTGTTCGAGTTGTTGTTAAACATCGCCGCTCTGACGTTCAATATTGACTATGATCTGTCCTATATATACATATATACAATAAAATCTTTACCATCTGTGCTGATCCACCGTTTATTTTCCATTTTAGCAATCCTTACTTATATTTGACAAGCGAACTATTTAATTTTGTTCTAATTCTTCTAACATTCTTATATATGATCATTAATATTATGGACGCACGGTTACTGTCTGCTCTAGAAGATAAACAACAGTGTCTCTAATTAATCATATTTGTCCTAAGAAGAATTATTGGGGACTAAGTGGCTAAATAACTAATCGAACTAAACTGAATATTGTTAAATTCGTTGAATAAACTTAAAACGTGCGAGATCTAGTTCTAATTTGTAAGGAACTTGTTCAGCTTGAGCTAAAAAATGCACTAGAGTTGACTTAGAAACCTGTAATTATATTACTCCATATGCGTTAAAGGTATGCATCATGCGAAAAAACATCGATTCTACAATTAAAACTTGCAATTACGTTAAAAGTATAGTGCAAAAAAGTAGTTTAAAATCGATTGTGATTATTTGTTTGCTGTTCATTTATTCATCTTATTTTAAGCAAAAACAACAAATAAGCTGTTTCTTGAAAGAAAAAACAAAACGATGTTAAAAAGTTTTTTTTCTTTAAGCTTTCTTTTTTGATACACCAACTGTTCTTCCACGTCGGCCTGTTGTTTTTGTATGTTGACCACGTACACGTAAACTCCAATAATGTCTTAAACCACGATGTGCACGAATTTTTTTTAAGCGTTCTAAATCTTCACGCACTTTGGTATCAACATTGTTTGATGTTACTTGACTATATTTTCCATCCTTAACATCTTTTTGACGATTCAGAAACCAATCAGGAATTTTATATTGTCTCGGACTTGTTATAATTGTTATTATACGCTCAACTTCTTCGTCAGATAATTCGCCAGCTCGTTTGTTTAAATCAACATCAGCTTTGCGCACACACACATGTGCAAATCGTCGACCAACACCTTTAATAGCTGTTAAAGCATAACCAATTTTACGACGACCATCAATGTTTGTATTTAAAACACGAAGTATATGTTGAGCGTATAATAACAATTATAACAAGTCCGAGACAATATAAAATTCCTGATTGGTTTCTGAATCG